TGTACCGTTTAGAATAAAAGTGAATTTATGTGAATTTAATTTGGTCTTTCATGTATCACGTTTCTTGAGAGAACCTGAACGTGATGGTCCCAGATGTCTGTGTATGGTTTATTTAAAGCAGTGAGGAAAGGCTTTTTTTTTTTATCTGAGTCTTACTAAGATAGAAGTACACGTATCTGTGTTTGTGTGTGTTCTAATGAGGACAAACAGTATGTATTGACGCGACTCAACATTTTTCTGCACTATAACAGTTAACATGTTAACAGGGAGCACCTCCATTTGTCTCCAGGTGAATCACATTCCTCTGATTTAAGGACTGTAAACACCGAACACTGCAACACGTTCATGTCATTATAGGTCATTGTCTGTTTGTGGACACAAAACTACCTTGTGTTTGACCGCTCTCCTGACATGTTCAAAAAATTTGAACTTACTTTGAACTTTTTTTTTTTTTTCTTACATTGTTTGTTGGATTTGTTTTTGGGCCAAAAAGGTGACTAGCATGTTCCAAAAGTGTTCTTCATTCCTACAGGGAGAGGAGATAAAGGAACCATTTATTGCACAAACTCCTATTTATCTTAGCTTTTACTTTTCCTACTTTTTGTTGAAATGATGTGCCTGAGTGAAATAACCAGCATTTCTTTTTTGTTTGTTTTTTGGTTTCCTTTTTGTATTTTTGTTTTTGTTGGGACTGTTTTATCGAGATTGCTGGATCATCAGGTATCAGCAGGCTCTGATGAGAAGAATGTGACATGCATAGACCTTTAAACTGTAAAAGAGACAGCTGTCCAACAGACTAAGGTGTGTACAGTACGTGCGCATGGAAGTGTGTGTGTATGCGAGACTGTGTCTGGTTGAGGTGACTGCTGGTTCTCGACCATGGTGCTGGTGATGACTTCATGATGACGTTTTCAACTCGTCATTAAGTGTTCAAAAGGGGAGAGTAAACAGCTAAAATGTAAGCGACGGCGGTAAATTATCATTAAAATAGCTTTTACAATAAAGGATGTAATAAACCAAGTGAAACCAGTGTTTGTTTGTTAATGAACATGTACAGACTGTCTTAATGTGAGTCAGTACTGGGTCCTGCTCCGTCCACAACCTTCATTAAGCAGTAGATGATTAAATGAAGTGAAAGTAACAACCACGTATAAAAACTTATACTAAAATCTAATAGAATTCTAGGGAATTCTCATCAATATTCTAAATTGTACCCACTCTGTGTTTACCTTCTTCATCTGTGCCTGTGAGCCCGTTTCTTTGACTTCTGATTGTTTTTGACTTCAGCATTAGAAAGTGTCTCTTGTTGTTGTCCTGTGTCATTTCCTGAATTATCAGCTGTGAGCATATCGCACATGATGGACGAGCCACTCTAGCTGTACCCCAGCTCACATCATACCTAATAATACACACTGACAACAGACAGAATGGACCAATGGACAGCTGCACTGACTGACTCACTGGGTCTGGACCAAGACTATATATACCGAGTCGAGACAAAGAGATACATTATAGTACTCTGTACTCTGTACTCTCTGTCGGACCGAGACTCCAACCACCATGTCACAGGTATATTAGATGTACTCAGATAGTACCACAAATGTCAAAGTCATTACTGTTGTATATCTGTGCTTATCTCTGAAATATATTCTTTGTGTTGGTTCATCCAGCAGGGTGAGGTAAAGAGGAAGAAGCGTCCACCAATGAAGGAGGAGGACCTGAAAGGAGCCCGGAATAAACTTGGATTAAAGGGCGAGGTCAAGAGCAAGACTTATGAGGTCATGGTGGAGTGTGGTGAGTAATGTCTGCTGTTTTGTTGAGGCTGGTAATGCTAATATATCCCTTTTTGTAAATAAATATACTCCGTACAGGCCACCCAGTGGACAGCTGCAGAACTTTTATCTGGTCCCCTTTTACTTTCCTATGACTGCAATGAAAAATACTACAACTTTATTTTGAAAGTCTGTTCTGCAGGTTAAATTCTTAGTTTTTGTGGACTACATGGCTTAAACATCCTAGCTACTATATGTTTGTTTCTGGTGTCTGACTTTTGGCACATTTCTATTTATTAATCATTAAGCTACTGTATGTTCCCACTTGAATTTTTTAGGGTCATTGTCACAAAATTAAGTTAGATTTGGTCAATGAACTACTTGTCCACTATGCCATGTCTAAACTCAATATAATAGTTGTATATTATTAGAATTAAGGTTGAAGTTCTGTTGGACAGCACTTTTGTCCATTCACTTGTATATGTATTTTTGAACAGCGTTAGAATATAAAGACACATTTCTGTCTTTGTTCAGAGCGTATGGGCAAAGTGGCTCCTTCTGTATTCAGTGGTGTGAGGACGGGGACAGAGACGGTGCTGGAGAAGCCTGCTGCTGCCAAAACTCCAGGAGCCAGTGTGTTTGGCAAATAGAGAAGGAGCAGCAGCTGCAACAGGAGGAGGAGGAGGAGGAGGAGGAGGAGGGTCAGATCTACAGATTTATTTCATATGTTCCAACAAATACTAAAAATCATAAAGTTAAATTACTGCACATACTGTAAAAAGACACAAAAGATGAAACTATCTTTTTGTTATTGCAGTAACATACATGTGGTTTGAGCTGAGTGTCCAGGGATCTGAACGACATAGAGGGGCTGCATACCTCTGACAATGTTGTCAAAACTTAAATGATTCTTAATTATAACACAACCACAAACATGTAAACTCCATACGTATATTATTACCTTATTTGATATTGAATGATATACGTATGATGACAAATACTTTTTTACCATAAAACATCTAAAAATGTTCCAAACTTCGGAGTAAAAACAAGAGTGACCCTTTTAAAGGTCAGCGGGACGTTTTGTTGTTGTTTTTTGTACAATTGTATGTTGTATTGTCTTTCATATTCTTCTCTCATGATGTATTTCTTGCTTTTCATTCAGGCAACTGTCCAAGGACATTTTTTGTTTGTTAGAATGATAGCATTTTATCACTTTAGTTGTGCATAAGTCATTTATGTATTAGAGAACAAAAATCTTAATTTCTAAACTTACATTTGAATACATAATATCCCAATTTACATATTTTTGTTGTTTGTTCAATCTACAAAAATCAAATGTGGCAACAAATAATTGTTACTAACTCAACTGACACAAGTGTATAACATTTCAGACTTCCCACATTAAGTAAAATAAATGATTAGGTATCTATGTGTCTACAACAAAACCATCTGTTCAGTTATAGAGGAAGGGACAGGGGGAGGAAAAATCATGAGTGAGTTTATTTTAAAATTTCAATTGAAAGCTTAACTCAAAAGCAATGGAATACCAGGCCCAACAAAACAAAAATGAAAAGAAGCCTCCAGGCCAGCCATTGTGACAATGACCAAAGTCCAAATCATAGAAAAGCCATGAAATTTCATGATCTGTAAACAGTCAACCATATGAGGAAGAAAATAAAGCTGAGCAGACTCTTGTCTCTTCCTCAGCTGTGGCGGGCCTGGGTCTTTTGGGGGGCAGAACCTAAATAGCTTTCTACACAACACACTGACCATAACAGGGATTATAATTTAGAACAAACCTCAAGACAGCCAGTCAAAAGCGGACAGGTCTGGACTATCTTGGCCGTCGTCCTGACTTGACCAGCCTCCATTTTTTAACACATTCAAACACACATGCAGCAAGCGGCACAGCGGCTTAGTAGAGGATAGCAGCGGCATGGCAGCCTGATAGCGGAAAGCGGCGGCACAGCGGCTGCCAAAAAACAAATGAAAGAAATGATGTTCCTTACCGTGTTGAAGATTTTCATGATGACCAATCTGCAAAATAAACCCAAGACAGAGTCATGTTAACTATCTAAGTGTGAGTACAACATTTGTCAAACAATTGCTTTCTAATTAAATACAAAACCTCATTTTGACTCTCACCTTGTCTTTTAGTTGCATCCAAAAAATCACTTACATTTCCTTCTGAGCCGTTCATTCACACCAAAGCGACATGCCAATTAGGGAAAACATGTATCTGAGGTCACACACCACGAGCGTTTCATAGTTTGCCACTTCCGACTTGGAGTAGCCTGTCAATGCTCGATTTGCCTGTATGCGCGTCTGGTCGCCATCTTGGATAGCGATATACGGCCCGTTTGCACGTGCGCGATTATATTGTTTTCTTTGCTTTGTTTAATAATGTTTCATATTTTGAATACAAGTTAAATTCAGAAGTGGAAATTAACCAATACATTTTACGTTTTTGTAAATAATTTGTAATTTTTAGTGGTTTCGGGAATAGTTTTTTGTTACTTTTTTTTTTTTTTTTTTGTCTTTTATCTTCGTTAACCACTGCGTTAACAATCTGCGCGTGGTCGTGCGGAGTTACTACTATTTTAGTGTAGCCAGAGAACTTAAGAGACGGGCTCTAGCATGTTAGGTGGATGATGGAGGGTGCTAAACAACAAATGGAGATTGAAGATTGCCAAGCTGAGAGCTCACATGGATTATATGAGTCAGAAAGCGAAGAAAATCCTTGGCCATATCTCAGCCAGCTGGAGATATTGTTTTAAAATGCAAACGAATCGATAACGATATCGTGCGGTGCAAAATGTGCCCCGGCGGACAGAACTGTCGCTGTCAAAACTTCGACGTCAAACCTGCGAAAGCATGTGGCAGTAAGTAGAGTGTATGTCCTTTTGCCTGTGTATCCCAAACGTTATGTTTATTGTTTTATTGGGTAAAAACTTCCCCTGTTGGGCAAAATGTGCCTTCATCATATCGATTATTTTCGCAAAGCTCAGCATCCATCTCCATAGCTAACATTTCAGTGAATTAGCCTCACGTTTAAAAAAATGTTTTACCAGAGTACAGTCAGAAATTAAACAATAATTGCAGTTTGTCTCTATACACCTGTGGTGCTTTATAATGTTTTATGGTGTGACTGAACATAGTTCACACTGAATATAGTTCCGTACATGAGTTTGTTTGTTTTAAGTTTTATCTAGTCAGTCATTTATTAAGTGTTCTTTAGTGGCTTGTTTAAGTGTTCAAATGGATCATAGAGTTTTCAAGTTATGCCACATGTATTTGAATTGTTGATTAAAAACAACAAGTTGCACATTGGGTCTATAACTTTTACTCGAATTAAATTAAATTAAGATTTTTTTCAGTTTTATTTGAGTATATTTTTACATTGGTACATTTACTTAATTACTTAATTACTTGTTCCACCTCTGGTTAAAATGACCATTTCTCTGTGATAATATGAAAGACATATCTTTGAAAAATATACTAAAACACCTAGAATGTTTAATAAACATTATAGATAGATAGATAGAGAGATAGTGTTCATTATCATTGAACATTATAGATAGATAGATAGATAGATAGTGTTCATTATCATTCTACAGTACACTATCAAAGTAGAGTAAAAAATGTAATCTTTGTATCTGGGCTTTTTCCAACTGTTTTCCTGTGCTGTAAAAGGTTGTTTCAGAGTTTATGGGCAAAATGTGTACATGCAAAAAATAAAAATAAAAATAAGCACAGTCATGATTTTGTGAGTACACTAGCTGGTACTCAAACCACAAGTTACCTCATGAATGCCTTCTTTTATACCCAGGCAAACACATTACTTACAGTACACTTTCAGAGCATGCTGTATTGGTCCATTTGCCGGACACCAGGACAAGTCATGGACAAAAGTAGAAGAAGGAATTCCATTTCAAAACATGATACACTACAGTACGTGGTTGTGTATTTATAGTACTCTGTTATTGCAATGATACTAAATTCACTAAACAAAGTTTGGTTCTCCTGTTGTAGTAATTATTAGATACAATCATTATTGATATTGATACAGGCTTCTTTAGATATTTACACAATGTTGAGCGTAGATATAAGTCCTGCCTCTCTGTCGGTCCACTGACCAGCAGCCAGGTCAGGTAAAACTAAATAAAAATATTTAGATCCTGAAGTACAAAGTTCAGAAAGTTTTTAGTACTGTGCAGTGGAAACAGAGAAACTGACTGTGTTTATATGGGATACATGGATGTTGAACACAAAGAAGAAGAAAACATTTCCAAAGTGTTTGGGTAGTTTCTCAATCAAATGGCCATCCGAAAACATTTTCCCTAATTTGCTGCAGAGATACTGACCTATTTGTTTTGGTCAGTGTTGACATTACAGAAATGCAAAATGCAAACAAGTGTACTTTGTTGTTTGGATAAAGTAGGGTTTCCACAGACTTCAACACTGTCCAAGCTGAGCTGTAACATATTCTTGATTAAGTCAATGAAAACTGATATTGTTGATTTGGTGATTGCATCTTTATTTTGATTTTTTTCAAGTTTGATTAAGATACATTGCATAATAATTGAAACCCAACTATAAGCAGTATACAAAAAAAATATTAAATGGAAAATAATTTAAGGTAGTACAAATATAAGATGTTTGACGTTGTATACCTTTAAGCTTCTTAAACAGGATTGTGTGGGCAGTGAGATGTGTGTGGTCAGTGTAGTGACAGACCTAAAGGAAATGTTTTCTGTATTATGTAACACTGTGGTGTTGTCATAATACTGTTTATATTGGAATGTTTTATAACATTTGCCATGTTGGAAAAATTGAAAGTACACTACAATTTCTTACACCTACACACTTTCTGACCCTCCCACTAGACCAAATGTTCTTCTCTGTGCTGTCAGTGTTCAGTGGAGCCAGTGGAGTCATGTCTGGACGGTTGGGTGTTCGCCTGCTGCTGCTGCTGGGCTGTGTTTGCCACTGGCTGCCTGGCCTGGCCCTGGCTGCTGTGGTCATCTCAGAAGGACAGGAATCTCCACAGGTAAACTTCAGCTTCAATAAATCAATATAAATATTATCTAACACTAAAAAACAAACTAGATGTATAAGAAGTGTTGCACATAACAAACCTTTGTTGTTTTGTGTGAATGGCAGGTTGTGTCAATTATTTAATTACATATTAGAGTTTCAGTATTTAAGGATTATAATTGATTACAGAATAAGGCCAGAGCCAAATTATAACCTGAAGGTTAAAGATGAATGTTAAAAAAGAAAGAAGTTTACTGACACATTGTATATATAATTAGTTCAATAAATTTGAAAGCAACTTTAATATAGTCTTATAGTAAGCTTATGAGATAGTTTGAGTATATATATAAAATAAGATAACATGATTTAATGATAGCTTCCAGAAAAAACAAAATATCTAAAAATTTAAAACATATTCAGTCAAATATTTAAAATCAGCAAATGACAACAAAATATAAATTGTAAATTGAATTGCAAAAATGCTAAAATCTTACAAAAAGATATGCTAAAATAAGTTGATTAATGCAAAACATTAGATAAAAATAGTTTAGAAGTAGGAGTACCTTTCATTCTACAGCAAACCGATACAAGTTTGAGTATGTTCATTTGTCACCAATACTGGATGACAGTGGCACAGCCAGTTTTACTTTCTTGTTATTAACAGAAGGCTAGTTCGAGCCAAAATAAAATATTTTACACAAAAAAAATCTTCAAAACCACAAGGTTGTAACATTAGACAAAAATATCAATGAAACTATAGATAGAATAAAATAATGTAAAAGTGAACATTTCTATACGCAGTAGTTAACAGCCAGCTGAATACAGTGAGCAGCATAAGCACAGATCCACTAAAAACACACAGTCTCCTGTATCCAGTGAATAAAGGCCCACTTCAACTGTGTAGCACTATTTCCATGTTTCAATAAAGACACACAAACACAGAGCAAAGAGACATTAGTTGGAAAACCCAAACACTGTAACATTGACTGCACTGCACTTTGTAGTGCACTTTGGTGAAAGACATGTTGGAGCATCAGGTACAGTATTTGATAAAGATTTGGCCTGATACCAAAACTGTAATTTGTGAATTTTCTGATTATAAGTTAAAGAATAACCGAACTGTTGTGTTTGCGTTTCAGGACACAAGATTAGCTGCCAGATCACTGCAGGTATAAACACCACTGGAATCTATTCATATACACAACATAAAAGACATCACTGTAACAGTTTGCAGCTAATCAGACACTTAAATTGTCTTCACAACAGAAAAGAAGTCCAAATGAAATTGAGGTAAGATCGATATATATTTGTTAATACAAATACAATTTGCAGTCAAGTTTGTAATGAACCTGGGCTGTGTGCGCTGACCTTTGTGCTAAACCTCATAAAGGAGTTTGTTGTCATGTGAAGAACAGTCTCCCACTTTTACCGTGGCTCAGGTGGAGGTGCTCAGTGTGACGGTGGACTGCACGGTGACGTCTCGTTTTGCTCACACCGTCATGACCTCTGTGGCTCTGAACAAAGCCAATGTGTCCCAGGAAATCTTCTTTAAAGTGGAGCTGCCGAAGACAGCCTTCATCACCAACTTCAGCATGTCAGTCTTCCTTCAAAACTCTGTTTTTAATGCAGTTAAACAGGACAAAATAATAATAAAGTCGCAACATTTGTCTACAAAGTACTGTGTAATGAAACATGTCCCCCCCCCCCTCCCCAGGGAAATTGAAGGTCAGGTGTATGTCGGTGAAGTGAAGGAGAAAGAAAAGGCCAAGAAACAGTATGAGAAGGCCGTCTCCTCTGGACAGACTGCTGGACTGGTCAAGTTAGTCGGTCAACTTCAAAATGCTTCAATATCTGAAAAAGGAACCTGGGAGTTTCAGGCAACAATTATAGAGTAGTTGTAATTGTTGATGTCTGTGTTTGAATGCAGGGCCTCTGGCAGGAAGATGGAGAGTTTTTCAGTGTCCGTCAACATTGCTGCAAAAAGTAACGTGACTTTTATTCTGACCTATGAGGAGCTCCTTCAGAGGAAACTGGGCCAATATGAGATTTTAACAAGAGTCCAACCTAAGTCACTGGTTCAGGACTTTAAGGTGCAGCTGTGATTCAAGTCTGATGACCTTATAGTCACAGCAGTTAAGATTTTCACTGTGTGTGTGTGTGTGTGTCAACAGATAATGACAAATATTTACGAACCACAAGGCATTGCTTTCCTGGATGCCCATGCAACGTTCCTCACCAATGACTTGCTCCCCCTGGTGGACAAAACTGTCACAGACAAAAAGGTGTCTTGCGTTAATTCTTTCAAATTCAGAATATGACATGTTTGCTGACATTTGAGGAAACAAGGTCGTCAGCAAGGATCTTACTCAGTGTCTTGGTCTCCTTGTTAGGCCCACATCTCCTTTTCACCAACGGTGGAGCAGCAGAGGAAGTGTCCAGGCTGTGATGGAACGCTCATTGATGGAGATTTTGTCATCAAGTATGACGTCAATCGAGGAGAGAGATTTGGGGACATTCAGGTCAGCTGACAACGGTCACTGAACTCAACATGTGCTGAACATACAGTACACTCCTACACAGTCTCTAACTTGAACTGAGACTATACAAAGACTAAACCCTGGAGCATTTAGAGAACTTCAGCGGCTGTAGCTTTGATTGAGACCAAAAGTACAGATGTCTGGTTCATCTCAGTGTGTCTTATCAGGGAAACACTGGAGGTTTGTGGTCTCAAAACATTTAGCTCTTTTACTTCCTTTCCTTTCCAGATTGTCAATGGGTACTTTGTGCACTTCTTTGCTCCACCTGACTTGCCAAGAGTCCCAAAAAACATTGTGTTTGTGACTGACAATAGTGGGTCAATGTCAGGAAGAAAACTCCAGCAGGTGAGAAATGTTTCTGGAGATATTTAAGTAGCTGCTGTAAAAAAAATTAGAAAAATTTTTAACTTCTGGCCTTATCTTATTCCTTGGCAGTCAAAAGATGCACTAGTGCATATCCTTAGTGATCTCCACGAAGAGGACTACTTTGCTGTCATTAAGTTTGACCATATTGTTTTACCCTGGAGAGATTCACTTTCCAAAGCAACAAAGGAAAACGTAGAGGAAGGAAAGACATTTGTAAGAAAACATCATCCTGTGGGAGGTACGTGTCTGGTGGATTTAAGAATCACAGTCTTGACAGTTCTAGACACAGATCCATTCCACTCTCTGCTGCTTGTTTTGTTCCAGGCACAGACATCAACCTAGGCGTGTTAAGAGGAGTTGACATGTTGGTCAAAGACAGACAGGAGAATAGACTTCCTGAGAGGAGTGTTGACATGGTCATCCTACTGACTGATGGGATGCCAGTCTCAGGTGAGTTTGTACAGACAAACCCACAATAATCTGAATCAGGTTCAAAGGATTTGAAGGTCGAGGCATTGGCAGGGTTTAAAGGATATTTTCTTCATGTATTTATGAACTGTGTGTCTACAGGAGAGACCAACACAAAGAAAATCCAGGAGAATGTACAGTCAGCAATTGGAGGAAAAATGTCTCTCTTCAGTCTTGGATTTGGAAATGATGTTGATTATTCCTTCCTGGATGTGATGAGCAAACAAAACAAAGGAATTGCTCGTAGAATATTCGAAGCTTCAGATGCTGCACTTCAACTGCAGGTGAATGATATATAGACATTAGTTTACACAGTCTGTAGTATGTAAAGATGGAGAAGAAGTTACAGACTTACATTACCAGTCAAAATATTCTTTGTAATTCTTTGTTCAATATTCACCACAAAGTTGAGGTCACTTAGTGACACAGTGGGATTTGCTTCTCCCTCCTCTGTGTGTTGATTTTCCTCAAACATTCAAGCTTCAATGGCCCAAACCAGGTATGATAAGGTCAGAGGTTAAATTGACCAAAGGTACCAGTATAAATGCTAGTTATTGTCTGTCCCTCCACCAATAACTGCTGATTTAGTGAATTTGTCAGTTTGCCCAGTGACCACGAAAATTGACAGGACAATATGAAGCAGTTGAAAATGTTACTTTGGATTGTAACAGCAAAACATATTTAATCAAAATGTATGTTAGACAGGACAATATGAAGCAGTTGAAAATAGGAAAATGTTACTTTGGGTTGTAACAGCAAAACGTATTTAATCAAAATGTATGTTGTGTTTGATAAAACAGGAAAAACTATTTTGGAACATTTCTGTTTCAGTAAAAACCATACCTGTATTTCAGGGTTTCTATGATGAAATTGCCAACCCTCTGCTGTCTGAGGTGGAACTACGTTACCCTGACAACGCAGTGGACTCTCTGACCAAAAACCACTTCAACCATTTGTTCAACGGCTCAGAGATTGTGGTTGCTGGTCGTCTGACAGACAATGACCTGGATAACTTCCTGGTGGAGGTGCTGGGTCAGGGGGTAAGGGAAAGCAAGGACACTATTAATATATATTTTTGGAAGAGAAGACTATCATGCAAAATTGACTTGTGTTTTGGTACATACATTGGTGTCTCTGGAGTGTTTGACCAAACCAGGTAACAGAGAAGACTATCATGCAAAATTGACTTCTGTTTTGGTACACACATTGGTGTCTCTGGAGTGTTTGATCAAACCAGGTAACATTTCATTTTGGCTTCAAGGAACCATATTAATTCAAATTGACCATAAAAGCAGCATAAGTTGTCCACTGTAACTATTATCACTGTGAGACGACGTCCCCTCTGTGTAGTTTGAGGAGGACTACAAAGCAGAGGGTCAGGCCAGTACCCTGGACCAGGAGGTCCCATACCCAAATGAGGAGTACATCTTTGGGGATTTCACAGAGCGTCTGTGGGCCTATCTGACCATCCAGCAGTTACTGGATAAGAGGTTTGTTCAATTTAGAAAAGCTCTGACCTGACAAACATATTCCAACAGTTCTCGTAAAAGTGTTTTAAGAGACTCATTAAGGTCTGAGCCTGACGGTGCTCCACTCAGTCTGCTTTTCACACTGATGTCCAAACTAATATAATAGATTTGATTTATCACCATCACATGTTTTTAGATGACTCTGTTCTTTTCTAAATACTACTTTATTTAGATGTTGACTTACACGGCAAACTTTGTCTTCTGCAGTAAGAGTGGTGACCCAGCGGAGAAGGTCAACGCCACAGCCAAGGCACTGGAAATGTCTCTGCAGTACAACTTTGTCACACCACTGACCTCCATGGTGGTCACCAAACCTGAGACAGAGGAAACAGGACCTCTCATTGCAGACAAGCTGACTGAAGGTGGGGAACTCATTGATTTACAAATAGCTTTACTTCACTCTGTGTGGAGAAATAAACACAGCAGTCTGCGTTACGTGGGCTCAGTGTTCGACTCCTCACAGCAGGTCACAGTCTCCATTCATCAACAGACATTCCCCTGGTCAAAAACATTAGCTCCCAGCTTGGTCTTGATCAGGGAGGATCTAGGGAATCACAAATTTAGGCTGGATTTTGAGTTAATATATTTTATTCTGTTTTGTTTCAACAGACAAACGACAGCAGGCAGAGAGGAACAGGAACAGTAAGACAGTATTTTGTTTTTAACCATGAAAAGATGAAAAGAGCTGAGGTTTGAATCTAATGTGTCAACCCTTCCATCACCCAGGGTATCAACATGTACCTCCTGTATTTAGTAGCTATCAACATACCTACCATGCACCACCAACACAATATGGTAAGTGACTTTTTTGAATCTCTGCTGACTCTGCAGGTCTTGATGTTCAATTCAATTTGATTTGGATTGCTAATGTTACAGCAGAACATCAGCTGTGGTACTGCTGTGTCTTCTAAAATACCTTCATTTGCAGTGGATGGAGACCCTCATTTCATTATCGAGCTGCCAGAGAAGAATGATGCGCTGTGCTTCAACATCAACGACAAACCAGGAACCATTTTCACACTGATTAAAGACACAAAGTCAGGTGAGTCCTGGTCAGCCTCTCAGTTGACAGAGTACAATTCCTTCAGTCCTTATTAATGACCAATATAAGACAGAACTCTCCCTACAAAGAGACTACCGTAATTTACGGACTACTGAGCGCACCTGAATATAAGCCACACTCACTAAATTTGACAGGAAAGAAACAATTGTACATATACAGGCTGCACTTGATTCAACATGGCTCAAACTGCTCTCAACCTTCGCTACGTTTTCTCTCTCTCGCGTGCTCCACGCACATTTATGCACACAGCCATTCACAAACAGACATACGCTACTAGTATAACACAGTAGCCGACCAGAAAAGTCATTGATGCTAGCGATTTGAACCTTGTTAGCCCGAAAAAAATCCATATATTAGCCACATTATTGTTTAAGCCGCAGGATTCAAAGCGTGTGGGAAAAAAAGTCGCGGCTTATAGTCTGGAAGTTACGGTACATTGATTGTTTCTTAGGTGTTGTTGTCAACGGTCAGACAATTGGAGACAAGAAAATCCCCCCTGATGGTAAAATAAACACCTATTTCTGGAGGTTTGGCATCACCCACAAGACTCTCAGGGTGAAGCTGGAGGTGAGCACCAGTGACATCAACGTGTTTCAGGACAGTAAATGGATGACCATGTATTGGTCCAACTCAATCTCTCTCAAAGGAACCAAGTGAGTGGTGGCTACATATATACATTTTATACCTTGATGAAAATGTTTTGTTTGTTTTTTTCCAATCTCTGTTTAAAGTTAAAGTTCACTTCACAGTGATCTCCTCTTCCTTCTCCTCCAGCATGGATCTTCATGTGACCAAGGACCGCAGTCTAACAGTTACACTGAAAGATTCAGTCAAGTTTGTGATCCTGCTCCACAAAGTGTGGGCCAAACATCCATACCATCAGGATTACTTGGGTTTTTATACTGTGGACAGTCATCTCCTCTCCCCTGCTGTTCACGGCCTTCTGGGTACAACATGACAATCTTACTGTCCAAGTACACTGATAGGTCTCAGGATATTAGTCAAAAAACATCATGAAGATTTGACTAAGAAAAAAAACCTTTAAAACAAATAAAGAAAATGTAGGTAATATATGTGTTTATCATATGAGCGGTGAGGAGCAGCCATAATGTTTTCCGTGTTCCACAGGTCAGTTCTACCATGGTGTAGAATATGAGGTGTCCGAGCTGCGTCCAGGAGAGGTCCCAGAGAAACCTGATGCCACCATGTATGTGAAAGGACATGAGCTGAATGTGACCAGGTACACGCCTCTCATAATTCTGTTCTCTCAATAATTATTATGCTATTATGTTATTGTAATTATGAAATGTAAAATAAAAAAAGGAATTCTTTAAATACGACACATCTGTCCTGGTTCACAGAGGCTGGCAGAGAGACTTCAGACAGGATATAAAGAATGGAGAAAATGTTCCCTGCTGGTTTGTTCACAGTAATGGAACAGGCCTCATTGATGGAGATGCTTCAGACTACGTCGTGTCAAGTCTGTTATAAACATTTCAATTTAAGTATAATTATATCTGTGTCATTGTTGTCATGTCTACAAATTTCAGTAAAAAAGTGTTGCAACACACTTTTAGTTAAAAAAAGGAGTTAAATATGAATTTGTTTTCTTTTCTCTGTGCCTGGTCTGTTTTTGTGTTTGTCCTTGCCTTGTTTCTTTGCTAATCTGGAGATTAAAAAAATGGAAAAACCCTACGTTAACATGACTTTTATTGCTTTCTGCTGACAATATAACAAAGTCGTGTCACTGTGGTGTTTTATTACTGGTTCAAGCCTATTGGAGATTGACTGTGCTCAGTGTGCCCTCAGCAGATGTTCTGTAACAACTTCAGACCGACTCAAGGGGCTCACTGAACCTTGTATAAACTCTTTTGACTCATCTTAAAAACAAATGATTTAGTTCTACAATTTTCTACCATTTATAAACTGTTAAAAAGACTCAGGGCAGGGAAATCTCTGTGCATGGAGCCCACAGGCAGAAGCCTAAGGATGTTTATGGACTTAATGTTGCCTGGTAATTGCTAGCATTTATCCCAGCTTCCCCTCTGTGACCCAAGAAGTAATTAAAATAGATTAGAAGAAGTTGTCAGTAAAACCTCTCAATCTTTATGTTTTCTTTTCCTGGTAAAAAACAGGTTTCGGTGGATTACAACATTTGAATTCAACCAAAGTTCCATTTGAAACTATGATTTTAAGAGGCAAAATATTTCTTTATGCCTAAATAGATGTGAGACTCGTCTCCTTCAGGAATCATCTCAGCTGACCTGTGACTACAAAATGTGACATTTACAATTATGACATAAAGACACATCAACAACCAACTGGCGAGTCTGGACCTGCCTGGTTTGACATCGACTTCTGGGAACCCACTGTTATGTAAACAGCACAAACGGTTTAATGGGTTCTTCCTCCAGCAGGAGCAGCAGTTGTGTGTGGGCGTAGTACAAGTCTTACGGGAAGACTTGAGCCCCACATGCCTGAGATTTTTTGTCCCCTTGTTTTCAGCCATGCTGGGAAAGAGACTCCTCAGTTCCACAGCAGACATGACTGCAGTGAGGACAGTCCTGATTCTGTGGCTCTGTGTTTTCATCTGCCTTCCAGCTGAGACTTCTGGTGCGCTGGTTATTTCCAGGAGTGATGTTCTTACTCAGGTATTTAACATTGAAGATTTTTGTTTTGTTTTTATCTTTGTGGTCATAAAACTGTGAACAAATGGCTACCTGTTTTTATTGTGCTTAAATTGGACGATTCTTCACAGCAGTGGAAGCAACAGTAGGAGCTTTTTCCTTAAAGAAAACTCAGGCAGGATGTGCATTCAAAAAAACAAGTGCTGAGGGACAATGCTATTGTTCAGTAAAAGTACTCATTTATCTCTAACTGTTCTGGAATCAGAATTATTTGAATCAATTTCATAATATTTAGTTTCTCGTCAAACAAATCCTGACTGGATACTGCTGGCCAGTCTTTTCAGTGGGCAGTGGAATTTATAAAAACTAAGGTTAGACTTTCCGTGTGAGTATAAAGCCATCTGGTGACAAGCCAGGGCTGCAGTGATGAAAAGCAGGAAAAGTTTGTTTTTGTAAAAATTATTTTGTTTTTACTGGTCGTTACCATAAGAAAACCTGAGTTTACAAACTCATTTTAGGGGAAATAAAAGTAATCCTACAAATAATGTACACTGAATAAATCATCACATAATCAAATGAAGATTTGACATTTAACCTTGACTTACGAATATCAGGGATTCCACTTTCATAACCTCCAGTATGCAGTTTGAGGTTTTTTTTTTTCCTTCATCCTCTCGTGCAGCTTCACAGATGGCAACAATCCATTTTTTATACACCATCTGTGGGGCAGCCAAAAAAACCTGCTGTGACTTACTCAGAAATGTGCAAGTAAATCAAATGTCATTGTTAGTGTCTCTGGAGTATCAAGTTAAGTCCTGTCTGATGACGCTATAAACCTTCCTGTGTGTATATACCCGCTCTTCTGTCTTTTCTTCATAACAACCCACTAACACTGAGTTCTGTTACAGGAGGACGGACCAACCTCCGACATCAAGTCTGTCAAGGTGGTAAATAAACAGATATTCATTTCTTTACCACTGCCTATGTATATACACGTTACCTCACCTGGTTTTAAAAGATCCTCGTTTTAATTTAAGCTTTAATGCATTTCTTTTTTTTCTCTGCAGAAACGAAGCACGGACTCTGCTGATGTGAGTGGTTTGGGGTTTTTTTTTTATCATTATTTTTGACGTAAATTCCGCCAGCCAACAGTTGTGAAAGTTTGTGACTGTAAAACAGATGCCTGGAAGCCTCTGCTCACAGTAGTGGCATTGTTCATCTCCCATGAACTGCATTGGTTACAGATGTCACTTGTTCTTTATTTTTCCACTCGCTTCACGGGAGGCAGAGAACATACTGCAGAAGGTTTCTTCAGCTCTGTTTGTAATCTCTGTGTGATGTTCAGACATTCTGGGATATCTTGTTCTCAACATTTAAAGAAAAGCAGTAAAGAGGCTGCCAGTCCTTTCAGCCATTAATCTTATTAATAATTTTTCATGTTGTTTTCACCATTAAAAAAGTAATTATTTTTAAACGGAAACTCAAAATTTGTCAACTTTAGACCAGATGTTCACAGTAGGTTATTATATATGTAGTTTGGTTTAGCTCTCACTGTGACAGTCAAATACCAAAAGCGTCCACCAGGGGGTAAAATATAATCTTTTCCCCAAAATGTTTTTTTAATTTTTAATGAATATATTTAAGAAGCATACAGCATCACTTCTTAAGTTGAAAATGAATCTTTCTTTTTTTTATTAAGGGTTTTACATTATATTATATTTCTTCTTGTATAAAGTTCAATTTTAAATAACAATTTCTCAACCAACTGTTAGATATAGTTTGGTAATAAAACATCTTTATGACCAACCAATGCTAAATGAATTATTCCAGTTTACATCAACATATAAATTTGACATATTAAGAAATCCTAAGACAAAGAAAAACATTTTAAACTTTTATTTTCCTCAAGCCCTTGATTCTTTAATGGTCCAGGAACAAAAGTGACGAGCAAGCTTGATTCTCATTTTCTCCTGTTCTTTCAGATGGTGGAAGTGCAGAGCGTTAAAATTGCCTGTGCAGTGATGTCACGTTTTGCCCGTACCGTCATGACCTCGATTGCTCTGAACAAGGCGAACTCCTCACAGGAAGTCTTCTTCAAAGTGGAGCTGCCGAAAACTGCCTTTATCTCTAATTTCAGCATGTGGGTTAAAACCTCAGGGTGACTTTTGACCTTTTAACAAATTGACCAACAGTTTCAATAAATGAGTCCTTGTGTCTGGCAGGGAAATCGAAGGTCAGGTGTATGTTGGGCAGGTGAAGGGGAAGGAGAAAGCCAAGCAGGAGTACGACAAAGCCGTCTCCTCAGGGAAGACTGCAGGACTGGTCAAGTGGGATATTAAAATTTCACAGAGCTGATGTTATAATGTCAGTGATGCTCAAAGTAACATCTGCTGTGGTTGCTTTTGGCAGGGCCTCTGGCAGGAAGATGGAGAGTTTTTCAGTGTCTGTCAACATTGCAGCTAAAAGCACGGTGACCTTCGTTTTGACCTATGAGGAGCTTCTTCAGAGGAAACTGGGCAAATATGAAATTTTAACACGGGTTCAACCAAAGTCACTGGTGCAAGACTTTCAGGTGCGTCTCTGCTCGTGTTTTTAAACCTAAATGGTTTATTTTGGGTTCATTTATTCCTATCTTTATATTGATACATATTTTATCCTGTGTGTGTGTCTGTGTGTGTGTGGGCGCACAGATTGTAGCAGACATCTATGAACCTCAGGGCATTTCATTTGTTGATGCCACTGCGACTTTCCTCTCCAATGACCTGCTACCTTTAGTTAAAAAAACTGTCAGCGATAAAAAGGTAAAAGATCAAAAATCTAAAAAGTTCATAAGCGATAAAAAGGTAAAAGATCAAAAATGTTCATAAAATTAAATATCGATCTATCTATCTATCTATCTATCTGTCTATCTGTCTGTCTGTCTGTCTATAAGACATTCATCCACTGACATTCTCTCAATGGACCTCTCTGTCTCTCAGGCCCATATTTCCTTCTCCCCCACTGTGGAGCAGCAGAGAAACTGTTCGGGATGTGAAGCCACCATCATAGACGGCGACTTTATCATCAATTATGACGTGAGAAGAGAAGCAGGCCTCGGTGAAGTGCAGGTCAGCCTCCATTAAAAGTCTTTCAAGCAGCACATAGGGCTTGTTAATGAGTGTTCATCAAGTTCTTCATCTTCTTTCAGATCGTCAACGGATACTTTGTGCACTTCTTTGCCCCCCCAGACTTGCACAGAGTTCCAAAGAACGTGGCGTTCGTGATCGACAGGAGCGGATCAATGAGTGGAACGAAGATGAAACAGGTGCAGTTAAAACAAACATACAGTGTGGTTACACACATACGCCGACTTCAATGTTTATCTATGTTTTCTTTTCACTTCAAACTCTAAACCTTTTCAGACTCGAGATGCAATGGTTGCCATCCTGAAAGACCTCCATGAAGAAGACCACTTTGCTCTCATCTTATTTGATGACAACATTAAAACCTGGAAGAACCATCTGACCAAGGCAACAAAGAACAACATTACTGAGGCCATTGAATACACCCAGGGGATCAGAGACAGTGGAGGTAAGTACATGGAAAAGAATGATATAATCCTGGGTGGGTGGATTAGTAGCCAATGGCTATCGTTCCCTTGTCAGAAAGGTGTGGGTTTGAATACCCAGTTTCACACATGACTCCTCTGAAGACAGTTTGCATGTTGTCTGTTTTTGTTAGATCTCTACCTACAATCGAAATATTTTAGATCTAGGTCAAGTACAATTGTTCTAAATGGAGCTCTCAAGTCAGTCTTGTTCTCCTCTAAATATACATATAGTATATATATAAATAATAATAATAATAATAATAATACTTTCTATGGATTTCTCTCTTTTCGTTTTTTTTTTCAGCCACTGATATCAATAGAGCCGTACTAAAGGCCGTGGAAATGTTGAAGAAAGAACGATCCCAGGACAAGGTTCCAAAGAGGAGTACAGACATGATCGTTTTACTAACTGATGGAATGCCAAACTCTGGTGAGATTTCTTCATTTCAATCTGTTAAATATAAAAAAAGAAGCATCACTAAGAATTAAACATGCAGTCAACACTATTAATAATAATTAAAAAGGCATCATTAGAAAGTGCTACTACACAAAAGCATATTCAGAAAACAAACAAGAGTCTCTTATTATTTAACACATTTTTGAAAATATATGGTAAAGTTTCAATCTTGGTTAAGATTTTACTCAGTGAAACCAACTGACTAAACGGGGCAACAGCAGGCTAGCTGCAAGTCCCATCAGCCACCACAGGGGCAGTAACACATGTACACTCTTCCTGTATGACTGGTGTGACTGGTCTTCTAATCACTGCCGAGTTACTGATCATTACTGACACTAGTAGCCGGTCCAAGTACAGTCCAGTACAGTGTATTGTTCCAGTACATGTGTCTGTACTGTGTATCTGCAGGTGTTTCTAACCTGGGAAAGATCCAGGAGAATGTGCGCTCTGCTGTCGGGGGAAACATGTCTCTGTTCTGTCTTGGATTTGGAAACAATGTGGATTACTCCTTCCTGGATGTGATGAGCAAACAAAACAAAGGACTAGCGCGCAGAATATATGAAGCTTCAGACGCAACACTTCAACTACAGGTAAAGGCTTTTACTGCATTGTTAGACAGTGTACTGCAGTGCAAGTGTTTTTTTAACAGCACTGGGTTGTGTTGAGGTATTGACTGACATCTTTTAAAATAGTTCATTTTTTTCTACACTGCATTAATGTATGTATTTCTTTAATTACGATCAGTAGAGGAATAACAGGCAGCCAAAGAAGAATAGTAATTATTTGAAAATATACAGCCAAATAATAAGATAAACAAAAGGTTTGTGGTCAGTTTCTGAACCCCCACCAACCCCCACACGCCCTCCGACCCACACCCTCCATGAATTGAAATACTATTGAGAACCTGGTAACATGTATATTCTTATCTGTACAAACCACTGCATGAGTTGCTGCCACCTAGTGACTGGAGGCTTGTTATCATACAAGCATTACAGCAGTGGTACACTTATGTCCACTGGAAGTCCCCC